TCTTACATGCGTCTCACTGGGCTGCTTCCTTTTCTGGAGGTTCTTGGGGGAGAATCCATTTCCATGTCTTCTCTTGCTCCTGGAAACTGCCCACATCCCTTTCCTTGTGGACCTCTGTATGCTTCCACCTTCAAAGCCAGCAACATCAAATTTCTTTGACCTTTCTTTAGTAGTCACCTCTCCCTCTGAAGTCCTGAGAGACTCATGTGATTTCACTGGGCCCATCCAGATCATCTAACTCTTAGATGGTGGTTGTCAACCTTCCTAATGCCTCCTAATGCCACAACCCTTTAATATAATTCCTCATGTTGTGGTGACCCCCAACCCTAAAATTATTTTTGTTGCTACTTCATAACTGTAATTTTGCTGCTATTATGAATCATAACATAAATGTCTGATATGCAGGATGTATTTTTATTGTTACAAAGGGGTTATGACCCACAGGTTGAGAACCGCTGAAAGATAATCTTCCAATCTCAAGGACCTTAACCTTAATCACATCTGCAAAATCCATTCTACCATGTAGGGTAATATATTCACATGTGCTACAGATGAGAAGGCAGACATTTTGGGAAGGCCATTATTCTGCCTACCATGGTTGTCTGTATTGACTCCAAAATGATTACCTCCTTGTAAAATAAGTGTGCATACAAAAATAGCTTGTTTAAAGAAAAAATAGTAAGTAAAATGTCTGTGGCTATGGCAAAAATAATGAAAGTGGTCTTCAAATGACTATAGTTTGGGAAACACTTCACCTGAGAGGTGACCTACCAATAGGAAAGAGTTGAGTACAGGCCAGAGAGCCTGTAGACCCAGCTAGACCCCAGTGCGCTCTGCTGTGATAGCTGGCTCCACCCAGGGCTCCAGACACAATTGTTCAATGTCCTCATCCCAAAGAAAGGGATTGTACCAGATGGACAGTCTCCAGACGTCCCTCCATCTCCAGTTGCTAATTCTGTGTAAATCAGTGGTTCTCAACCTTCCTAATGCCATGATTAGTTGCGACCCATAGGTTGAGAACCACTGGTATAAACAGATATTCATGTTAGGACTTTTAATGCAGAGCCAAACACAGTGTTGAAATATCTCTAAACCTCATAAACAATTCAAAAGGTAAAAACACCAGTTCTATCTTAAATGCTGCCTTCCTTAGATGTAGTTACCAAGCACAAAATGACAAACCTTGGCTGATTATTTAAATGATTATTGTCATAGTTGTTAGGGGCGGTCTTGTCATGATCGGATATCCTTTTTTTCTTCTTTTTCTGTTTGGTTGGTTGTTTTTGATAAATATTTTTTCAAAGTGAATGTTCATTATTAGTTGCATTCATCAAACAATTATAGATTCTTTGAGAACATTTCCTAAACTTAGCAAAATAGGAAGTACTAGAAAGGTGGGGGACAGGCAGTTGGTAAGACAGGACCCCAAATTAGGTAGACATTGTAAAGAAGTGATGATTCTTATCACCTTCTTCAAGTCCACACTTACTTATAGGTTGTTTCAATTCTAATAATTCTTAATTTTTTTTCTTTTAATGACAACTACGTATAGTGAAGAGGTTTTTATCCCTTTTTCTGATAAAAATTTCAAGCTTTATATTCCCTAAAATCAACTTTGCCTTGAAATATAGTTTTAAAAACTGAAAGTATGTTTTCTCTGATTACGTCCTAAATAATGAGAGTTGCATAGCAGCTCTCCTGTCTCTTCCTCCTCCACCCTTTCCCCCCTTTCGCATGGTGCCAATCACAGGTGGATGCTCAGTATCACCCCACAGCACAAGATAAATAAGCTTGGAAGGTTTCCTAGCAACATATTGTTCTGGGAACCTGCTCTGTTTCCCTGAACAAGATGAAGCCAAACATCCTAGAATCTCAGCCAGATGGGAAAGGGTTAGCTTACTAAGAGTGTTAAATGCATCTTTTTAAATTTTACTTTGAAATATAAACCTCCTAACATAAGTAGCAAGACTGACTTTTAAAAGGACCCTCTTTTACATGTCAAAAAAAATTGGTAATAGTTTGAATATTAAAAATATGGCTTCAGAAGAATTCTCTAGGAACAAGCCTGCAGTATGTAATTCAGTAGCTGATAAATGGATCCATTTTAGAACCCCGTAGAAAATACTTCCACACAGGAGTGACAGCCAGCTTGGTACCTGGTGGTATGGTGTTCCAGTTGCAAAAATATTGAAATATTTCCTATCTGGTAAGTGAATGGAGCCCTGCTCCCGCTCCTAGGGAAATATTTGAGATACCTTGCCACTGCTTAAAACCCAGAGACATCCCTTGTCTCTGTAGATCCAGGACTACTGCAATGCTAGGGATTTGCAACTTCATCTTGAGAGGCTATTTTTTGTTTTCTGAATATATGATGAATGCATATGGAGAAAAGAATACTAGAGGAACTTGAGGCCACTATCAAAGCCAAGAAAAATAATGGCATTGTCTTGTTAGCACATGATCATGTGTGTTTCCCTTGTTGATCTCATGATCTGTGAGGCTCCATAGTAAGCAAGTGGTGCTTTCCTTTCTTAGTTGGTGACTGTACACCCAAAGGTCTCTGGAGATGAAGTAATAAAGAATTAATGTTTTGGCTCAGTGCCCGTAGCACAGTGGTTACGGCACCAGCCACATGCACCAAAGTCGGCGTGTTTGGACCCGGTAGGGGCCAGCTAACCAACAATGACAACTGCAACAAAAAATAGCCAGGCATTTTAGCAGGCACCTGTAGTCCCAGCTACTTGGGAGGCTGAGGCAAGAGAATTGCTCAAGCCTGAGAGTTTGAGGTTGCTGTGAGCTATGACTCTATGGCTCTCTACCAGGGCGACATAGTGAGACTCTGTCTCAAAAAAAAGAATTAGTGTTTCTCATGACAACATTCAACAGTGACTTTAGAATCCATTTACACCCCGGGACATGTCCTCATTTCTTGTTTAACTGAGAAGACATTCCGCAATTAGCCAGACGAATATTCTCATAATGTGGTTATTGAATGGTCTGCACCATCTATCAGGTTTGATTGCTTTTGTGAAACTTCCTAATTGTTGTCAAAAGCAGATAATTTTAGTTCTTCACGGTGCTCCTGAATGAGAAAAGCAAAGTACAGTAATTAGAATAAGATGGGGAATGGCACCTGTGTCTTTGGCTTTTATTTAACAAATTCTCTGGCTAGATTCCAGAGAATTGAAACTGTCCTCATCCCAGAAAACTGTAAGAAAATTTTATATTAGTGCTTTCCATTTTCTTCTGCTCTCTCTCACACATATGTACATGTTTTCTAAATATCGTACTTTGAATTCAACAGTAAACATTCTGTTAAGGGGCTAGGATGGGGCAATTACTTTGGTCGGTATCCTGGCAGATACTGAGAGCAATTCAGCATTCTCCCCTTTTCTAAGTCCTCAGGAAGTCAGCAAAATAGCAAGTTTATAATCTTAAAACAAATAAAAAATGATTTTCCTTTATTTCCCATCACTTATTTTAGGACCTAAACATTAGGGAAAAATTTTTGTTTAATGGAATTATACATTTGATTTTGATTGTCTAAGGAGAGGCTAAAAATAGGTTTAATCTGTAATATGGAATCAAGTAGGCTATAATAAGTTGATTTTGATTGAATGCTTATTTAAAAAATATTTTAAATGTCCATGGACAGGCATTGTTCTAGATACTTTACCTATGTTACCTCATTATTAGGTAGAAATTTGTTTATGTGTCATTTTACAGATGAAGAAACTGAAACTGAGGGAGGTTATTTATTTTTAAAGACAGATCTTGCTGTGGTTCCCAGGCTAGGGTGTAGTGGTTATTCATGGGCATGGTCAAAGTACACTGCAGCCTCTGCTCCTAGGTTCAAGTGATCCAGCTTCCCAGACTCCCCAGTAGCTGGGATTACAGGTGTGCACCACTGCACCCAGCTCAGAGAGGTCAAATACCTGGTTACCAAGGGCCTTTATAGTGTGTTATGCTTATTTATTTTTAGCATTCTAAGACTCTGTAAGATTCTAGTTGTTTTTTCAGAAAAGAGTAAACTACTGTCTTTTGATGATAACATAACTTTAGCAAGAAAGAGATGAGTTATTTAGGTGATTTTCTGTCATCACATACAGCACAACAATCTTACATTTCCTTGAGTGTTCCGTGTGCAGTTTTTCCCATAAAATATTTTCCTATGACTGAATTATACTTAAAGATAATTAAAATTAATAGCCTATTAAATACATTAACAAGAAAAAGTCAAGACATCAGCAATATTGTAGAACAGAAGTGGACAAATTATGACCTGTTTGGTAAATAAAGTTTTATTGGAACACATCTATGCTCGTTCATTTTTGTATCC